CCTCCCTTGACAGACACCAGCTGGAGCCAGCGTTCGCTACAGGCTCTTGCTGCAGCGATGTCAGACCGAGAGTCAGTGGTCTCTCCTCCCCTCCCCTCCCCTCCCCCCTTCCCTTCCCTTCCCTTCCTTTTCTTTTTTCCTTCTCTCCTCTCCACTGCTTTTCTTTCTTTTCCTTTCACTTTTTAAAAAGCCTGGTAATCAGTGGGGCTCCCTGTTTTGGGACCCTGGATACTTATGGCTTCCTTCCTGGTTCGGGAGCCACCTTTAAGTAAGGATTTTTTTCCCTCCCTTCCTTCCCTGCTCCCTCTCTCTCTTTCTTCCTTTCTCTCTCTCATTCATTCTTTCTTTTTATCTTTCAACTCTCTGTCATTTGAGCCCTTGGCTCTGCATTACAGAGGGGATTGTGCTGGCTGCGATGAGCTGGTGGAGGGGACAGAGATTTCAGAGCAGTTGCTGTGTGTGAATGGCTCATGGGGAAGGCGGAAGGAGGATTTAAATAGCAAGTAGTGTATGCTGTGAATGCCCCTCGTGGTGCTTTTATGAGAAACAGCAGGAAAGAGCTACATATATTTTTGAATGTTGAATTGGTGTTTAATTGAACACTGCACTGGATCAAGATGGGGCCTCCACTGTAAGCTCTTGCTTTGTCCTCTGTGCCTAGAACATGCCTGAAACACAGCAAGTGCGTCAGTGCTCATGGAAAGAACTGTCACCATCATGGTTGCATGTGTGTATCACATGAACGTAATGCCGAAGATCTCCAAATGCGTACACTGAATTGTAAATGTCCTTTACATCTCCTTTTCAACTTGGTGTTTCTCAGTTATGTTAGTCCATTCAGGCTGCTATAACAAAAACACTTTAAGCTGGATGGTTTTTGTTTGTTTATTTATTTATCTGGTACTGGAGATCGAGCTCAGGACTTTGTGTTTTGCGAGGCAGGCAGCAGAACCACTGAGCTAAATCTCGGGCCCTCGTTTGTTTGTTTTTTAATACAGAAAGTCATTGCTCACAGTTCTGGAGCCTGGAAGCACAAGATCAAGACATAGGCAACTCATTTTCTGGTTTACCGACAGCAGTTTCTCACTCCAACCTCACACAGGCGGAGGACAAGGAGCACTCTCTTTCATAAGGGCACTCTTCCCATTCATGAAGGCTCCATCCCCATGGCCTACTCACTTCCCAGATGACATCACATTGGGGTTTGAAATTTCAGTGCGTGAATTTTGGAGAGAAGCCGCATTAGTCCACAGTCACCTCCCCTTCCCTTCCTTCCTCTAAACTCACATTCTAGTAGCAGTAGCTCTTATTCTTTCTGAATTTGCTTCTCATTACCTGGCAGGTGGTGATGACATTGGTCAAGGACCAAGGAATATATTCATCCTCCTCGGCCCAGATGTGTGATAGTAGCACACCACCAAGCGAGGACAGTGAGAGATGGCTCCGGGTCTCTGTCATGAAGGGGAAAAGCGGGGAGCCATAGCTCACGGAGTAGCGGTTTGCACTCTGCAACCTCCACCTAGAACAAGCTCAGTGCTGGGGCTGTGGGGACAACCCGCTTGTAAAACTCCGTGACAGGGTTGTGATCTTGAGCTCAGATCCAAGGTTGAGCTCTCTGTCTTGTGTTGGTCGTATCTGTGCCATGTGGATCCCTTGTCCTGGGAGGAGAGGTCAGAAGAGGTTTAAAGGAACCGGTGACTTTAACAGTTGTTATTCAGGAAGAACACAAATCGCCATTATCATGAGTTTAAATGTATGTAGTTGAATAGATATGTATTATGCTGTGCTGCATATAGGAAACTTAATCCTCAAATTCCTATGTTAATAGTATTTGGAGATGGGGCCTTTGGGGAGAAAATTGGGAAGGGATTAGACCAGGGTATGACCCCCCCATAATGCCAAGAGTGGCTTTGGAAGGAGAGGAAGAGGGACCCAACTTAGACTCTTTCTCTGTCTTGCCCTGTGATGCCCGCCATGTGTGATGCACTGAAAAGGCCCTTGCAACAGGCTGGATGGATGTGGCACCATTTTCTTGGACTTCCCAGCATCCAGAACTATGTGCTAAATAATCTTCTATTACCCAGGGTATCAATTACCCTGTCTGTGGTATTCAGCTATAGCAACAGAAAATGGACTAATATGTGGCCCTGCTGTGTGCCAAGAGCTAGGGTTAGAAGGATGAACATGAGGGAAAGAATATTTTATGCAAGGGAATTACCCATAAGCCAAAGAGAGGAAGTGCAAAAGTGTGTGGTGCTCTGCAGGCACAGACAGTGGTTTTGTGTATTTCAGGGATTCTAATGTGTAGAGCTTCCTAAGGACAGAAGACAGAGGGGGCTGTAGAGGGACACATCCTAGGCCAAGGTATTCTGTGGCAGGCTGGTCTTCTCAGATGCCAAGATGGAGTTGAGGATAAAGATATTTGTTAGACATACAGGCCAGTGGAAGGGGAAGGGACAGGGCTGGAGAGAGAGAGAAGTTGAGTCACACTCAGCTTCCCTGTGGGGAACCTCGTTCTCCTCCTTGCTGCGTCACTGGTGGTGTGCCCTGTCTAAAAGCATGCTGGGAATTTAGCCCTTTGCTGGCCTCTAAGCTGCTGGAGTCCTTGTAGGGCCCTTGTGGAGGTGGTGGCTCCTGGTGAAGGATCAGCTCTTATGAATTCGCCTCCTGGCTGTGCTCAGGAGGTCCACCTTGCGAAGCCAAGGCGGCATCTTGTTAGGTTAAATGGCACTCAGTGACTGGAGGGTGACCTTGTCTGGGTGGACAGCCTTGGACAACTGTGCACTTTCAGCTTCCATGTGAACAGGTCCATGGGCTCCTTGCCTCTATCCCTGTGCCCTCTCTGTTGAATCATTGGCCAGGCAGTCACACTTGACATTCCAGTGACCCATGAGAAGGGCTTTGAGCAGCACATGAAGGAAACAGCAGGGCAGAGTCCAGCTCCAGTGTGAGTTCACTGTGAAGAAAAATCTTCCCAGAGAGCTGTTTGTTGTATAAGGTGGGTAAGGCTGAAGAAGGGCAAGGAGAACAGAGAAAGGCTGTGATTACTGAGCCTTATTATTGGGCCCCGCCAAAGACTCACCATTGTGTTTAACACTGTATTGCCTGGGTTTGGTTCCTGGCATGGTGTTTTAGTCATTCTTCTGTCTCTGGGACCAAATTCCTAACATGCATATCTTTTATTTTGGCTCATGGTTTCAAAGGTTTCAGTCCATGGTTGGTAGAAGAGAGCAGTGGAGGAATGCTTCTCACTTTGGGGTAGCCAGGAAACAGAGAGATGGAACAAACCAGAGAGAGAAGAAAGGCCTGTGATGGCCTGCATCCTTTGAAAGCATGACCCCAGTGACTTGCTTCCTCTGACCAGGCCCCATCTTCTAGTAGCCCATTCAGGTAAGACGGCACCAATGGGTTAGTAAACTTGAGCCCAGTCTGGGCAATTTAACAACTTAGAATGACCTTATCTCATAAAGGGCAGGGGAGGGGCTAGGAATGCAGCTCTGTGAAAGTCCCTTGTCTGATACCTAGCAATGCCAAAAAAGAAGCAAACAAAAACAGAACAAAGGGAACAACTAAAGTGTTTAGAAAGAGGGCTAACATATTAAGCATCCCAGGAAAGCTACATCTGAAAAAATGTAGGGCCAGGGATGTAGCTCAGTGGAGCCATACCTGCCTGGCAAGTGCAAGGTCCTGAGTTCACTCCCCGATACTGAAGGGGATATATATAGATATATATATATATATATATATCTATATATATCTATCAGTTAAAATTTAAAGATTAGACCTTGGATGGAGCCATACCTGCCTGGCAAGTGCAAGGTCCTGAGTTCACTCCCCGATACTGAAGGGGATATATATAGATATATATATATATATATATATCTATATATATCTATCAGTTAAAATTTAAAGATTTAAGACCTTGGAATCCATCAAAGAAAAAAGGATGTGCTGGGAAAAGATTGATGTGGTACTTATTTGCTCCATTTATTTCACTAAATTTTGTAATACATAACTGGTGCTGGGTGCTGGGTGTAGACACGGGGTTTTCTAAACAAGATGTAGTTCTTGCCCCTAGACAATCCACAGGGCAGTGGAGGGTAATATACTTAAGTAAAATGCGACAAAACGAAGACTTGTGCACTGCACAGTGGTTCTGAAACCATAGGTAGGACTGCATCTCATATGTATTGTTTTTTCTTTACCTGTGTACCTTGTACAGACTTTAGCTTATAAATTATGAGCAGTAAGAAATTAGCAGTTACTAACATAGGACAACTATGGCAATATACTGAGATAAACTCATGTGAACGTGCTCTCTCACAAGATCTTATTGTACTGTACTTACCCTTCTTTGGGATGACGTGGGGTGATAATTAAAGGAAGCACTGTACAGCTCTCTTTGGCTTATCCGAATCATATGCCATTGCTCTTGTGCTTTGGGGCCATTCGTAAGTGCAATCCGGATCATACGAATGCAAGCCCTTAGATATGGCACAGTTGATCTGATAACTGAGGTGGCTCTAAGTAGTGACTTAGTACCAATAGTACCAGGCAGGTAGCATAGACTGCAGGGACATGCTGCACACATTCTGTCATGATACCCAGAATGACTTGCAATTTAAAAACTTATGAACTGTTTATTTCTGGAATTTTCCACTTAATATTTTCAGACTGGTGTTGACTGCAGGTAGCTGAAACTGCAGAAAATGAAACCATGGATAAGGAGAGCTGCTGTGTTGGAGGCATCTGGAGATTGCCATGGGAAGCAACTCCCTGCAAGAAAGGCTGTGAGAGGGAGGGTGTGGCCTGGGGGGAGGAGGAAGCAGCAGGTGGCAGTGTGTGTGTGGGGAGGACAATACAGGTGGATGGCTCAGTGAAGGTCAAGAAGCAGTGCAAGAACTCAGGCTGCCTGGTGGTTGGAGAAGTTGCCAGTAGCCAAGAAGCCAGAGTGGGGAAAGGCGGGGGTGAAGGCTGCCTGGATGAGCTTGTGCCAGGCTGCTTGGAGCTTGGGTTTAAACTTCACCCTGAGAGCACAGGGCAGGGATGAGATGTGAATGGATTCTGTGTCTTAGAAGACCTGTCAAGTTTCATGGAAATTGCAGAAGGTATTGGAGTAGGGAAGAAAATGGGGCCTGGGGAGCCCATTTTAGGGGGTTCCTTCTTTATGGGTGTCCAGAGGACTAAAAGTGAGGCCTCACTCCAGATCTATGAAGATCCCCAGGGAACTCACTTGTCCCCAGAAACTGGAGACCACGAAAGCCTGGAACAGTCCAAGGGGGGCTGCAAAAGCTAGACTCATGCCTGGCTTTGGGCTGAGAGCTGCTCGGGTCAAATGCCCTGTCCTTGGGAGGCTGGGACAGCTCATCCTGCTTCTCTCAGTCAGCATGTTTGCGTTGTTTCTGCTTAGCAAGTGTCTAAGGCCACAGTGGAAGATAAAAGCTGTTCGCATAGTTCTTTGTCCTGGCAGGATTCCTCTTGCATTAAATTAACAGCTTCATTTGCTGTTGTGATTCTCTAACTCTCCACTCTATACTTCTAGAAGTTTTAAAATTTGTCTCTAGCTCTCATTCTTTCCGTGGGGCCTCTTAAAATATAATGCACTGCCCTAAATAAATGAGACGCTAGGCATGTGCTGCAGATTGAATGTGCCCCACAAAGTTCTTGTGTTAATTTCCAGTTTCTACGGCAATGACATTGGGAGGTGGAGCCTGTGGGAGGCGACTAGCATCAGAGGAGGTCGTGAGGATGGTTCCCCGAGGGTGGCATTCATGGCTCTCTCTGGCTTGCCCTGTGATGTCCTCTTTTGTGCTATGCTGTAGCAGGAAGTGCCTCTCCAGATGCCAACAGGATGCCAGTACCATGCTGTTGGGTTTCTCAGCCTCCAGAACCATAAGCAAAATGAACACCAAATCTTTACCTGGTCTCAGCTATTTTGTTATAGCAACAGAAAACAGACTAAGTTGGCAACTGAAAATACACCTCGTAGCCCTGCTCCTGGGCTTTCTCAAGCTGCTGTAGAACTGGTATGATGTTTCGATAGTGTCCAAGAAAAGCCAGAGAAAATCATAAGAGAATTGTAAAAATACATGTCTGCAAGGCTGCCTGGGTGCCTCAGCTCTGGAACCAACTAGCTCACCAGGCAATAGCCAAGCAGGATGCACTGTTCTCAAAAATGAATGCTCTGCTCAGCAGTTAATTATCCCTTCATTGCAAGTCAGGCAAGCGAAGAGAGATGGTCATATTGGACAGTAGTGATAATATGGAACACAGTTTTCTTACCCTAATATATCAAAGGTGAACCTGAAGGAAACACTATTTTAAAAATGACTGAAAAAAACAGACACACACACAAAAAGACCTACCAAATATAGGGAAACTACAACAAATAAATAAGGGTTGCTATGTGGTTAGACTAGGGTCTCTTGGCATTGCCACGATTGACTTTGAGGCTGAGTCTTTATCACTGGGCTGTTCATCTGTTACAGGATATTCAGATACAACCGGATATGTCTCTAGACATTGCCAGTGACCAGAGGTTGAGATGGGAAGAGTCACTGGCCAAGACTGCTGAATTTAAGACTAAAGAATAAACCAGAGGGACTCACATCCTAGTTCTACCACCTACTAGCTCTTTGATCTTAGGTAAGTCTTTTAATGCCTCTTGAACTCAAGTTCTTCATCTGTAGAGACAGGTGTTATAGTTTGGGTGCCATGTTGAAGTGTTTGTGTTTTCCCACAGGCTCATGTGCAGGGAAATTGCTCCCAGGGTGGCAATATTGGAAGATGGTGTGGCTCTTTATGAGGTGGGGCTCAGTGAGAGGTCCTCAGGTTATTGTAGGCGTGGCCTCAGAGGAATTGTGGGTCCTCAGTCTGTCTCTGCTGAGATGCATCTCAGCTCACTCTGACCTTGGCTTCAGCCAGGGCCATCCTCCATCTGCCTCACCAGAACTGATGCAGGCGCCAGACCCATTCACCTCCCAAATGTGAGTAGATAAACTTGTTTCTTCATAAGTGTCTCCCATCAGGTATTTTGTTATAGTGACAAACAGCTGGCTAGCACACAGGGTTATGTCACAGGACCATTATAGGATTAAGTATTGATAAGCATCACCCAGTTCCTGATAAGTAGTGTTCAATAAGTGTGGACTATTTTGAGATGATAATGCATCCTCTCACCCAAGGGAAATCTCTGTCACCAATAAACTGGATTGATGCATTGATAAGGAGATTAAAGACTTGGCCCTCCTGTCACATTATCACACAAGGAAACAAAAGCCTTTGTGTGCCCTACATTCACGGCTGGCTAGAAGAAAAGCACCACATACACTGGATTAGCAGAGGAGCTCTGGAAATTCTGAAGGACTCAGCCTTAATAGGGGCACTGGACTTGACCTTGGAAATCTGGAAAACAACAGGGTACAGTGTAAACAGAGTAAAAGCAGAACAGAGGTCCTTTTAGAAAAGCTGTGAGGCTAAAACAAAATCCTCCCTTGCTGTAAAAAACACACTGTCTAATTTAAGTGTCTCACTTAGAAGGTCCTTGGAAAGTCTGAAGTAACCACCCATCTGCGCTGAAGACCAGGACAGAGGCTCCTCCTTGCCACTCAGACTTCCACAGGGTTCCTGAGGACAGGCGCAGAGACATCACTGAGTCCTCTGGGAGGTTGGATGGAGAGTTCTAGGTTGAGGCTGGGAGCTGGGGGAAGGTCATGGAAGAGAGAGAGGTGATTCAATAGCCACTGGCTGATTGATTTTATTATGGATGCATAAATCAGGCAAGATGTGAACTTTAAACCGATTGCAACATGTTGCATTATCAGCGTGTTCTCTGATTATTTAATTTTTGATCTGATCTTATCTCTTGTTTCCCAAGATGCATCTGGAAGGTTTCAGGCTCATAGCTCCAATCACCCTTTCTTTTCTTCTGCCAGGGTTCCGTGTTCCCAGAGCATGTGCAGATGGGGGAAAGTTTTACATAGCACAAGTTAGCACTGTCGGAGCCTCTCCCTTGCCGGTAGCAAATTCCTTATGCTTTGGAAGAAAATCCATCTCTCTCAAGTTACCTTTGTTTTTGGGTATATCCTAAAATTACCACAACCATCACAAGGCTTCAATTTATTTTTACATATTACTCATCCATTGATTTCTTTTACATTTCATTTGATCTTGTATGTGTGCCTTAAAACTTCAGTATCAACTTGAATGTTATCTGGGTTATTTTTCATACCAAAAGACTCAGAAATACTTGTCTACTTATGTACCTGGCTTTAATTCTTCTTTTTCCTATGATATTTTGATTAGTCAGGATCACTTTAAGAAGTGATTGAACTAAAAACATATTAATGAAGTACTTTGAGTAGAATGAAGGGAAACAAACAGGGAAGTTGAGGCACCTGCAACCAGGGACAGAGAAAAGCTGTCACCACCCTGAAGCCCAAAGAACCATGAGACAGTGGGGACAGGACTGTCAGAGTCTGATAAGAAATGGCCTCCAGTAGGAGGTAAACACATGGGAACATAGCCACTAACAGGATCTGGGGAGGACAGAGAGAGCTAAGAGAATTCCTCCCTCTTGATTTTCTGATAGCATTTCTGGTTGGCCAACCTGGCTGACCCAGCCCAGAGAGCTTAGCCTCTTCGTGACAGAGGAGGGCAGAGACTACATCTGGATTGAGATAGGGATAAGGCACCCACGGAATCACCAACATCAATCTCATCGTCACTTTTGGTTATTGAAAGTCTCATTAGATTGTCACTAAATGAGAAATCCTCAGTAGATTTTCAGAGGTTACAGCACATGTAAATACATTTCCTTGAAAATAAGACTTAACCAGAAAATAATCAGCCTTGAAAACAAGAGATCACAAATGCTAGCCCCAATTGGCCTATCCTTGTCTTACCTGCCTTACAGAATAGCCACTGAGCAAGAGAATAGAGATGATGGCAAGGTGATTCTAGTCTTGCTATGATGAAATCAATTTCAAAATCAGTTTTATACTTTCCAAAAATACATTTATATTTTTTATTTTTAGGGAATTTCACTTTCTCCTTACTGATCATCTGTACACATGGATGGCTACTGTGTTAACCGGATTTATATTACTGTGACAAAATTTCATAAACCAACTTAAAAGGACAGAATATTTATCTGGCTCACGGTTTCAGAGGTTTCATTCCCTGGTCACCAGGCCCTGACACTTTGGGCTTGTGACATCACAGTACATCATGCTGGGGAGAGAGTGGTGGAGCAAAACTGCCTGCTTTATGGCAGCTGAGACACAAAAAGAGAGAAAGGGGTGGAGCCCCAAGATCCCTTTCAAGGTCATGCCCTGATGACCTAACCTCCTGCCACAAGTCTTACCTCCTTAAATTTTCAGCACCTCTCAACAGCACCACTAGCTGGTGACCCAGCCTTTAAATGGCTCTTTGGGTAATATTTGAGTTCCAAATGTCTTAGAAACCTTAGTGCCTGTGCAGAGGACATGTCAGAAATGCCGATTCTCAGCTCCAATGCCAGATCTCCTGGTCCAGGAGCTCTGAGAAGGCGGCCTTATTGCCCTGCAGCAATGGGTCTGGTTCATGCCCAAGTCTGGGGAGCACAGGCCAGATGTTGTGTTTCGCCTCTCTGAGGCTTCTTTCACACCACACCTTTTTGTTCCAGGTGTTGCTGTGGCAACCAGCACTGCACAGATGTAGCCTGAACACACCTCCTTCAGCGGCACCAGTGTCTCTTCTGTGCCCCAGGCTCCTCCACCAGTGCAATGTCGGATGACTGGGAGAGCCTGCTTGGCAGTGCAGACGTGTATGAACTGGAGATGCTGAGGAGTTCACGAGCAGCCTGGGGCAGCTGTGGACCTGTGCAGGTTGGGAGCATTGGTTAGATCACTCCCCTTGGGAGTGGAGGTGAATTCTAGATGGCTCCTTAGAGTGAGACCAAGCCCCTTTTATCCTAAGCGCACAATCAACTTGCAGGCCTCTCTGGGTTGGCCCTCCCTCTCCAGTTTTGTTCAGTGGGATCACTTCCCAAAATAAACTAACACATGTGCCATATAACAATGTTTTGTTCAGTGATGGCTGCATAGATAATGGTGGCCTCATGAGATCATGAGGCTGAAAATTCCTGTTGTCTAGTGACGTCATAGTGCATGCATTTGTCATGAGTTCATGGTGAGGTTGATTTCAACACAACTTCTGCACTCCCAGTCCCCTAAAAGTATAGCACATGCAGTTATGTGCAGTACACAGTACTTGATGACAACAAGCAACTATGTTACTAATTTATGTTTTTAACACTTATCATTATTGTAGAGTGCAGTCCTTCTACTTATAAAGAAAAAGTTAACTGCAAAACAACTTTCCATGTGACCTTAGCAGCAGCCTGATGCATCTCAAGTTTACTGTGTCCCTTGACTGCCAGATGGCCCATTGAGTGAGGACCTAAACCATGCAGGTTTAAGTCCATTCTATATTTGCACAGTGACAAAAATCTCACAATGACACGTTTCTCAGAATGTGCTGCCATTGTTGAGTGGCGCATGACTATACCTGTGTGCAGAACCTTTGTCTCTGTTTGGGGGTGAGACTAAGCTAGCACCACGTCCTTTCTTCATTCTTTATCGTTCACCTTTTAAGGATCAGTTCACTTATGACCCATACCTCATGAACTCGTCTCCTTGGTGAGAATCCAATAATCCTCCCTTGTGTTTCCACGCTGCTTATTCTTTCCCGCATGGCAGCAGCCAGACTGCGGGGCACGACAGGTCTGTAGTTGTCTGTCTCCCCAGCAAGATCAGTGTTCTTGAGCTCAGGATGGTGTTCAAGGAACAGTCCCCACTTCAGGCTTCAAGCTGAGAGGCTTCTCTTTTAGCCATTTCCAAATGAGTTGTTGCTTGAAAATATGTCCTGTAGGTTGTGACCCTTCACCATAGCCAGGGCCTGTTTCCTGGGCATTCAACCTGTGGCTTTGCACAGGGTCATGGCCCAGAAAGACCTGTTTGTGGTGCGATGTTTTGCTGTTGCCACCTTGATATTCTTAACATTTTTGTGCTATGCACAGGGGCAGAGGAAATATATGCATAATGCACGTCTGCCCTTCCCCATGGCCTCATCACGTGCTGTTTGGGAAAGGCCAGGAGCACAGAATTCCTGAGGACCCACGAGGTGTGAAACTACAGCAAGACTCTGGAGCAGTCGGTATACAGGGAAAGTTCATGGCTGGTGGGGAAGGGGAAAGGAAGTAAGGGAGAAAGTCGGGGGTCATGCTTTCCAGTAGAACGAGGACCTGCTTCAGATGAAGAAAAGAAGGTGATCAAGCAGCCCATCGTGCTCTCTTTCCTGCATGGTTCTTCCCTGCCTTAACCGGACACACTGGAAACGATGGCACCGGAGAAAAGGAAAAGAGGGACACCCAGAGTTCCTTCCTTCCCCATCAGTAAGGGAGGGAGTATTGGTGAAAGACACACACATGGAGAAGTGAAGTCAAAACACTGCCTGTAGAACTCTGGCAGAAAGAAGGATAAGCTTGCATCATTTGTAGGAAAATGGATGCACCTCAGACTATTGTGTTGAATGAAATAAATCAGACGCAGAAGACTAACTACCACATGATTTCTCTTATTTGAGGAACTCAAAATGTAAATAAAGAGACAAATTAAAAATAATAGGAAGTAGGAAGTTAGATCTTTTGCAACTGGGAAGGGGACCAAGGAGTGGAGGGACAGAGAAGGAGAGGAGGGGAAGGGGACGTAAAAGGAACAAAGATGTGTTATGTACAGATATGACTCCCCACGAGGACTGTAATCATTAAGTCCTGCAAACCGGGACTATCAAACAGGAAAATTAGAAAAGTAGTTTGGCTAATTTTATGCAGTGCTTCCATTATTTCAGTAAAAATAAAATACATATTTTTATTTATATTTTTATATTTGTAGCACATATGAGCTACAAAGTACAAATTTTGTAATTGTGGTGATTCTGCACACCTGCTCACTGCTGCTGTATGTGCATTGGAAATTGTCATCATACTACACAAACAGGGAGATTGAGTGCACTCCTAAGTAAAAAAAAATTAATTCAAGAAGAAATAGAAATATTTTGCAACAAGGCAACCTGTACATATGTATATGTGTGAGCATGCAACCATGCACAGGTGATACGAAGTGCTTGAGGAAAGAAGAAACACTTGCAAAGTGACTGTCCCTCCATTTGGAACATTCCGGGGGCCTCCAACAGGGTCCTTTACATAAAAGACGCACTCAACAATCAGTGCAGTCTGACTTCAGGTGGTTTTTGGAGGTGACGTCTTCACTTAAAGTTTGAGTACCTGCATGTGTGTGCTCCTCAGTTACCAAATCAATCTCCAGACATCAGGGTGAGCTTGTGAATGAAGAGAACGAAAAGGACAGACCTAGGCGAAGCGTCTCTCATAATGGTAGTAGTTATTCCAACATCAGTGGAGAAAAACAAGATGGGGGGCTGTTCCTGCCTTGTGTGGTACTCTTATTCCCAGGGGGTGGTGTTTGATATGCTGATATATCTTCAATATCCTAAATATGGAGAAATATTCCTGTAACCTCAGTGACTCAGATGGCTGAGGCAGCAAAGTTTCAAGTTTGAGGCCACCTTGGGCAGCTTCACGATCTTGTCTCAAAATAATAAATGAAAAGGGCTGAGAATGTAGCTCAGTGAAAAAGCAGCCCTGAGTTCAACCCCTAGTACCACAAAAACCTTCATACATCCCCTTATGTAGATGTAATTTTTACTCTTCTCACATTTCATAACTTCACCAAGGCAATCCATTCTCTCCTTACTGTGCACGCCATATTGCTTTGCCCCAAGAGATTGAGCAGCTTTCACTCTGGAAAGAAAGACTTGCTCAGTGAATCCATTCTCTGATGTCCACATGTCCTGGGACCCCTGAAAGATGCTATATGGTACCATAGGATATTATATGCAGGGTCACCAGGCCATGCATGCACTTCTCTGCCTCGTGGCTCTGTGGCTGCCATTGCTATTTATGCATTAATTAGACCAGGGGCCCTTTGAGAGTGATCTGTGTCTCCGTTACCTCCCAGTCTATCCTGGGACCCAGCACAGTGCCTGTTACACATGTAAGTGGGGTTTGTTCAATGAATGAGCTAATGCTGTGTGGTACAGTTTGCATATGGTTTATATGGTGCATAGCTGATGTGTCAAAGTGTGGACCCTGGGAGGGTGATTTGAAAGGTGATGTGGAACCTTTAAGAGGTGGGGCCCAGGGCAATGTCATTAGGTCACTGGGGTGCTGCCCTGGGAAGGTTCTCATGGGACTCTGGTTCCTTCCCGGGAGAGGATTGTTAGGAAAGAGCAAGACCCTCCCTGGTCTCCGGCTTCCTGTCTCCCTCTGTGATCTCCCTGTCTTGTGCATGCCGGCTATGATGCCGGGTGCCATGATGTTGTGTAGCTGGGGGGCCCTCACCAGAGCGTGTGCCATTTGGGACAGTCAGCCTCCCAAGCTGTGAGCTAGATATGATCCTTTTGTTTATAAGTGAGCTGGCTTAAGGCACTCTGTTGTGGCAATGGAAAACAGGCTAATGCAACATCCGATTGATCCCTAGCTTTTTAAACAATGGTCTTCAGGGGTTTATCCCTCTTTTCCTGATACAGCCCCCGCCCACTGATTCTATAAATGCAGAGCAGAACCTGTCAGCCTCAGTCGGGACACTTCCCACTCGTGATGACGTCCACAGGGGACATTAAAGTAATGGACGGCTTGCACATTTTGGCACAATGGAATCTCCCAGTCATGTCTGATTTCAGAGCACACCTGTAGACCTAGTGACAGCCAGGCTTCTGGTGCATTTGAGAAAGCACTCGTCTATTATGAAGGTAAAATTAAACTACAAGTTCTTACATGTTGTTTAATGGCAGCAGCTGATGCAAACCTTTGCCAACACAGAACTTTTCACACTTGGGTTCCACTACAGTAAGGAGATGATGTGTGAGACTGGTGTTGGGTTTTGGCACTGCACATGAATGAACTAACTCTGGAAACCTTTCTAATTTCGAGAACCCTCTCTGCCCACCTGGCATTTCTGAGTCGCCTTGTGATAGCCAGGGCGCAGGCATAAAAATGAAAAATGCCAAAGGCTGAGACAGTGAGGGGACCATCTTTCCTGGAGTATTTGGGAAGTGTCCTTGCCTGGGTCTAAGTGCTATTCTCACCAGGCCCTTGTCTGTGGCACTGAATCACAGCATCCTCCCCTAGTACCATGTGGATTTGCTGCTGGCACAGCCCTTTGCTTTCTCATTGTCTTTGATGGAACAGCCTATTCACAGTGTAAAACCCAGGACAAGCTCATGGAAACCCCACCTTCTGCACCTGCCCCCTCCCAGTGCAGCACAAGTCTGTTGATAACAACTCCCGTGGAAACTTCTCTGCTCGTAGGTGGCTATGGGGATCAAAAGGAAACTAGAGTGTGGGAGGTATTAGGCTTTTCTTCCCCTCCAGTACTGGGAATTGAATCCAGGGCCTTTACACTGAGCTACATACCCAGTCCTTTTTATTGTTTATTTTGAGACAAGATCTCAGTAAATTGCTAAATTGCCCAGGCTGGAGTCAAACTTGTGATCCTCCAGCCTCAGCCTCCCAGTGTCCTGGGATTAAGGGCCTATACTGACACACCTGATGGATTGGTCAGCTTTGTGTTCTTACTACAAAGAAGGACTTGGGCTGGGGATTTAACTCAGTGGTGCTGCTGCCTGCTTTGCAAGCACAAGGACCTGAGTTCGATCCCCAGTACCAAACCAAACCAAACAACAACAACAGCAACAACAAAATTGGCTTGACTTGGGCTACTTATGAAGAAGGTTTATTTAGCTGAGTGTTGGGAAGTTCAAAGTCCAAGCTACATGGCACAGGCTCTGGTGAGGGAAAGGGGCCCATGGTGGGTGGCAGGTGGCTGTGGGAGGAGTGTGTATTGCAGCAAAAAAAATAATTACACCTCAAACCAGGTGAAGAGGGAGAGGCAGAGGGGACCAGAGCGAGAGAAGGGGAGAGAGAGAGAGAGAGAGAGAGGTCGGGGGCCCTCCAGTCCCCTTGAAGGACACAACTCTGGACCTGAGCATCTCCCAGGAGGCCCCACCTCTAAGATTATAGCCCCTCCTGACAGCACCATGTTGCAGACCAAGGGTTCAATCACACACACTGAAACCACACCCAGACTACAGATTTAAGAAAGTGGTGGCCCCTGACATGGAAGCCAATGATACAGGG